ATCACCCTTCTGCGTTCTGGAGGAACAGTCTCCCCAGATTATGTTTTGTTTTTAGCCTAAGGCAGATAGCAGTGACTAAGGCAATCACACCCAGTGCTTTGAACTGAGGTTTGTATACACCATAAAGGGATATACTTCAAAGTAAAAATATAAGTCACATATTGTTCAAAAGAAACCCCTTCTGGTTGTTCTCATTATAGGTACTCTGCAACCATTCTCAGAAGTGGCTTTGCTGGTATCTCTAGTTTGGAGGTACAGAGCATCATACCATAGTAGCAGTAGTTCAGGTTGACACACCACATTTGGCCATTTGCTGAACATAGTGCTTAACAGATACACCAGTAAAAGGAGGTCTGTATTTGACTCACAGTCTTATTTTGTGTTCACATGCTATTGTACAGAGCGGAAATATGTTTCTGACTTGGAAATTCTATGTAAATGCCTTCTAAACTCAGAAACACGGAGTCAAAGAATTCTGAACCACGCTGTAGCAAACTAGCTCCTCAGAGCTGGAAGCGGAGTTCTCCTTCAACCTTTGCTTTTGTAACAAACTAGCTCATCAGAGCTGGAAGCGGAGTTCCCCTGTTCTTTGCTGTATTTGAGGTCTTCCTCGAATCATTCCTCACATCCCCCCCCCCCTTGCATTCCTGTGAGGCAAACTTTATCTTCTGGCAGATGGTCTGGGGGTCAACCAGGTTAAGACATCCTGCGTCCAGCAGTCATAAAGGTTGTAAAGTGTACTTCCTCCCCCATCTTAATCAAGATAAGAAAACTGCACATTCCTCAGGTGAACTGTATGTTTCATATCATGGGGGATGAGTTGTAGTTAGTAGAGTTTCCCAATGACCACTCCCAAGTCAGAGCCCCCCCTCCCCTTTTGAGAGGGACTTTCAAGAGAGTTAGTCTGTGACAGACACACACACACACAGAGATCTCAGAGGTAACATCTAACAGAGGAGATCAAAGAACCTTTCGGCTCACAACTTGAATTTGCTAAAACCAGGCAAGGCAAGTAACTTACCTGTATTTCCTCGCTATTCTATGTTTGCTGTGTCTTATTATACATATATATATATGTTTGTGACATCTTGTAACTATTTATTTTGCATCTGTTTGACCGTTAGAAATAAATCTTTCTTTCTGAAAGTGTTAAACTGTTTCTAAGCGCTTACTTGCAATTCACGAATCCCTGCCTTTGAAGAGACGCTACTGTTTGTTATATATCTCTGTATAGTAGGTCCGCGGGCCGTGCTATATAGATCCATATTTCAATCATTATAGTGTATATTTGATAACGGGAGTTTCCCAGTCTCCAACAAAAGTGGTGGTGGCAGTAGAGGGTTAGTTGCGTAACTAACCCGACCCAGTAACAAGCGCATTCAGGCTGCAGGCACCGATTGTAGTCCATTAGCTGGGCAATCGCTGTGTAGGGCGCAGCTGGGTGGGGCCTTGTTACGCGCGTCACACCGCGGTTTTGGATCGGCCGGCCCTTCGGTCACGAGTTTGGTGAGAAGGTCTGGGGTCTGACGCCGTGGGCGTGACGTATTACTGTTAGTCGCGGCTGTGCGATTGTCGCCCTGTTGGTGGCGGCAACCGCGGGTCGTGACACACGCGTGAATATAGTTATATTCCACCACAATGATTACAAAAAACCCATCACTAGAACTTCAACTAGAAGCAGCCTGTAAGGGAATATTAATAATACTTACCAGTAGTTCATAGAGGCCCCAACTAGGAACGATACTCTGCTGGACCTGGTAATCTCAAACCATGCAGAGCTTATTACAAAATGTTCACATAAAAGAACATCTGGGTAGCAGTGACCATAACATGATTTAATTTATTGTTAACTGTAAACAGCATGCACATATGGGAAAAACAAAACTGCTCAACTTTAAGAGTGCTAATTTTCCAAAGCTGACAGTTACTTTCAAGACTGGGGGGAATATTGGCATCGATGAACACAACACAGAAATGGGAGTTCTTCAAAAAGACTATATGAACACAATGAAAAATATATTTCCATGGGCAACAAGTATAAAGGCTAAAAATCAAACTTATGTGACATACCGCCAAAGTTAAAAAAGCTACAAATAAAAGAAAGAGCTTTTATTAAATATAAAAATGAAGGAGCGCTATTATACAAAGAATATAACAGAATATGCAAAAAGGAAATAAAGGCCACAAAATTGAAAACGAACGACAGATTGCAAAAGATAGCAGGACAAACCCCCAAAATATCTTCAAATATATTAATAGTAAAAAGGTTCGGTCTGAGCATATAAGCCTTTTACAAAATAATCTAGAGTGGGTGACTGGGGACAAAGAGAAGGCAAATTTATTAAGTACCTTCTTCAGCTCTGTGTATACAAAGGAGCATGGGGGAGCTCTTGTCCATAATGGGCATGGTATTGATTAGCTCACAACTGATATGATCCAGAAATATTTAGACAGAATAAAGGTTAATAAAGCACCTGGACCGGATGGCATACACCCGCAGGTCCTTAAAGAATTGAGCTCTGTCATTTCAAAGCCATTGTTTCTAATTTTTAGGGACTCTTTAATTACTGGCATAGTACCACTGGATTGGCGTAAGGCCAATGTGGTGCCAATATTTAAAAAGGGATCAAAATCTTTACTAAGTAATTATAGACCTGTTAGTTTAACTTCTATAGTTGGGAAGATACTGGAGAGTTTAATAAAAGACCACATAGATGAGTTCTTGCTGGAAAAAAATATTTTAAGCAACAGACAGCATGGATTCATGAAAGATAGAAGTTGTCAAACAAATCTGATTTCTTTTTATGAGGAGGTGAGCAAAAACTTGCACAGAGGGGTGGCGGTGGACGTGGTATACTTGGATTTTTAAAAAAGCATTTGACACAGTTCCCCACACACGGCTAATGTGTAAGGTAAAGTCTACAGGCTATGTAAATGTACATACTCGGTATGTAAATGGTTAGAAAACTGGCTAAAAGATCGTATTCAGAGAGTAGTGGTTAATGATTCATACTCTGAATGGACTATGTTGTCAGTGGTGTACCCCATGGTTCAGTGTTGGGACCCTTACTTTTTAATATATTTATAAACGATATAAGGTCTGAGATTACAAAATCCCATTTCAGTCTTTGCAGATGACACCAAGCTGTGCAGTGGAATAACGTCCTTACAGGAGGTCTCCAATTTACAAGCTGACCTCAATGCACTGTTTAATTGGGCAACTATGTGGCAAATGAGGTTTAATGTTGATAAATGTAAAGTTATGCACTTGGGGGCTAAGAATATGCATGCATCATACATACTAGGGGGGGTACAACTGGGGGAATCAATGGTGGAGAAGGATCTGGGAGTTCTGGTAGATCACAAGCTTAATAATGGCATACAATGCCAAGCTGCAGTTTCTAAAGCGAGCAAAATCCTCTCTTGTATTAAAAGAGGTATAGACTCCAGAGAGAGAGATGTCATATTACCCTGTACAAATCATTAGTAACACCTCATCTGGAATATGCAGTTCAGTTTTGGGCACCAATTCACAAAAGAACATTGGGGAACTGGAGAAAGCACAGAGAAGGGCAACCAAACAGATACGAGGCATGGAGGAGCTCAGCTATGAGGAAAGATTAGAGGAACTGGATTTATTCTCTCTTGAGAAGAGGAGATTAAGGGGGGATATGATCAACATGTATAAATACATCAGTGGTTCATATAGTGAACTCAGTGTAGAGTTATTCACCCTGAGGTCATCACAGAGGACAAGGGGGCACTCTTTACATCTGGAGGAAAAGAGATTTAATCTCCAAACACAGAAGGTTTCTTCACAGTAAGCGCTGTGAAAATGTGGAATAGACTCCCTCAAGAGTTGGTTCTGGCCAGCTCAGTGGATTTCTTTAAAAAAGGCTTGGATTCTTTCTTAGATACACAGAATATAACTGGATACTAACATTTATAGGTAAAGTTGATCCAGGGAATATCCGATTGCTCTCTGGGGATCAGGAAGGAATTGATTCTTCTGCAGGAGCAAATTGGATCATGCTTTGCTGGGGTTTTTGCCTTCCTCTGGATCAACTATGCGTGTATGAAAACTTTTTTTCTTTTTGGTGGTTGGACTGGATGGACTTTTGTCTTTTTTCAGGTAGACTAACTATGTAATCCTCCACATTGTATAAAAAGGAAGTTTGATTTCTCTTCTCTGATCCTCCCCTTCTTCTACTGTCCCCAATCCATCTCCTGACACTAGAGCTCTGGGAGACACTCTGCACATGCTCAATTTGGTTTTATTGCTAGAGGTTTTTTTCTTCAGAGGGTGCATGTGATCAGTACAGAGCCAATCATCACTCTCCAGACAAAGGTCAGGGGTCCTGCATCCTCCTAGAGCAGAATGAAATCTCCTCCTACAGCTTTAACATGTGCTCTGCTGGACACTGATAAAAATCATAAGAATGCTGATGAGAAAAGGTATTTAGCAGTTTTTGCATTCCATGTTCGTTGGTAGAGCAGATATAGTGGATGCAGAGTCCTTGGTTTAGTCCCACTTTCAGTATACCAGCATGAATGAGGCCTGTCACCACTCTCATGATCAATATTGCATTGTTGGGGATGGATATGCTCACACGTGCTCATTAGTAGGATTCAGGAAAGGGTTACTGTGATATACACCGACTAAACACATTCATGGTAAAACAAAGCAGACTGGTAAAGAATACAAGATTTGGTTGTGTAAGAAGACCAATGAGAAGCCAGGTGTTACATCCCCGGAGAGATCGGTACGTCAGTCACGTGTCATGATGGTGTCACCATACAAACTGACAGTCCCTCTTCATGCCGCCTCCCTAACAGCGTGCCCTCTCATTACACCACGTGACGCGTCCTCTCGGCGAATAGCGTGCGCTACGGATCCCGGAAGCTCTTGGCTGATTGGTTGCTGTGGAGTGACACGTAGCAAGAGGTGAGGTGCATGCGCATTGCGGTATCTAGTGTCGTGCGCATGTGCTTTTGGTGAACAGCTATGGCGGCAGTTGTGGAGGATGGTGGTCCTCAGTGGAAGCTGGATATGGATACCGTCAGGCAGGAAATCCAGAGACAAGACCCCGCCGTGCTCTCTGTAATCGTGGCCCTTGTCGTTGTATTGGTCAGCCTGGGTGAGTTAGTGTGTTCTGTACAGGAGTGACGTGCTAGTGTACCCAGACAGGTGTGCATGGAGGGACACGGAGCAGCCTGAGCACGCATGACGTCATGTGTAATATTAGTCTTCATTGTCAACTTACATTCTGTAAAGTGGAATTCCAATCAAAAGTGGAAGCTCCAATTATGTGCCTCCTCCCCCCACCAGTGTCATATTTGGCACCTTTTGGGGGGGAGCGGATCCCTGGTTTGACAGGTACCCGCTCCCACTTCCAGCTCAGTTCACCATGGTGAAGTGAGCCGGAAGTTTGGCCCTCTCCTTCCTTCCACAGTCTCCTGGGAACATTCACAGGTCCCAGAAGAGACTGCTGGACCAATCAGGAAGCACGGCGCGACTCGCAGATTAACAGGGGACACCCGGCTGTGAAGCCGCACACTGTCACGGCCTGGCGTCCACAATTGCGATGCCAGGGGGGGAGGCAGAGAAGGGACAGCTCAGGTGAGTACATTGCTGGACCCTGGGACAGGTAAGTGTGTGTTTAATAAAAGTCAACAGGTACAGTTTTTGTAGCTGCTGACTTCTGACTACTTCCCGCCCGGCCTATACTAAAATGACAGCCAGGCGTGCCTCTCGTCCCTCCGGGAGAGCGTCATATGATGTCCTTCCTGGATTGCACCTTGCTTGTGCCCACGGCCTCGCTGTGGCGAGATCTGTCACTGGCTGTGTACCTCAGACACGGCCAATGATAGATCTGTGAACCGGCTCCAATCACATGGTCATGTGACCAATCACAGCAGGTCACATGACCGTTGTATACAATGGATGGCTTCCTTTCGTGCCATCCATTGTATACAGGTCAGTATTAATTCTAACAAGCAGTATGGCGTTTACATAGTGTGCAGCATTGGGATTACACTCCTATGGCTTACACATCAAGGGTTTTGGTAGCTCTCGGCTGTTTGGGGCAGGCAGTGTTGTATTATAGGCACACTTGTTCACAACCCTCTCTTTTCTTTTAGTGCTGTGGAAGCTTCTACGTCAGAGACAGACCAGCAGAAGAGCCATTCTACTTGTTGGCCTCTCTGACTCTGGGAAGACGTTACTCTTCATCCGGGTATGGCAGTTTTATATCATTGTAAAGATATTCATAGATGTGAAATAACCAAACTAGATAAATTCAGCCAGATTGTTCCATGCTCATGAAGTCTATGGGGTTTATTTGCTAAAATGGAGAGTGAAAATTCCGGTACAAATCTGACAATAAAACCTGGAAGCTGATTGGTTTCTGTGCAAAGCTTTATTGAACAAGCTGAAGTTAGAAGCTGATTGGCTGCCATGTACAGCTGCACCAGATTTTGCACTCCAGTTTTAGTAAATCTACTCCTGTGTGCTGGAGAAATCGCTCATGTCACTTGGACATTTTATAGCCTGATGTCTTTGCACAGTATAGCTTTTGAGGTTGTGTTCAGTCTCTGCTAAAACCTTGGCACTCTCTTCGGCAGTTTTTCAAACCACAGCTTCCTTTGCCAAGTGTGACAGGTAGGTTCACTGGTCAACAGAAAGGAGTGTCCAACTTGGCATAGATCAGGGATCTCCAAACTTGCTAAGAAAGGGGGAAATTTACTGTCCTTCAGACGTTAGAAGGACCGGGCTGTGGCTAGTGGGGGTAGAAAATGCCTAATTTTTGGTATTATAGAAAGAATAGTGCCCCATTGCTGGTGTCAGTGGAGGAATCATGCCCCATTACTGGTGTCAGTGGAAGGAAGAGTGCCCCATCATTGGTGTTAGTGGGGGAATAGCTGCCCCGTCATTGGTGTCAGTGGGAGGAATAGTTGCCCCGTCAATGGTGTCAGTGGGAGGAATAGTTGCCCCGTCAATGGTGTCAGTGGGAGGAATAGTTGCCCCGTCAATGGTGTCAGTGGGAGGAATAGCTGCCCCGTCAATGGTGTCAGTGGGAGGAATAGCTGCCCCGTCAATGGTGTCAGTGGGAGGAATAGCTGCCCCGTCAATGGTGTCAGTGGGAGAATAGCTGCCCCGTCAATGGTGTCAGTGGGAGGAATAGCTGCCCCGTCAATGGTGTCAGTGGGAGGAATAGCTGCCCGTCAATGGTGTCAGTGGGAGGAATAGCTGCCCGTCATTGGTGTCAGTGGGAGGAATAGCTGCCCGTCAATGGTGTCAGTGGGAGGAATAGCTGCCCCGTCAATGGTGTCAGTGGGAGGAATAGCTGCCCCGTCAATGGTGTCAGTGGGAGGAATAGCTGCCCCGTCAATGGTGTCAGTGGGAGGAATAGCTGCCCCGTCAATGGTGTCAGTGGGAGGAATAGCTGCCCCGTCAATGGTGTCAGTGGGAGGAATAGCTGCCCCGTCAATGGTGTCAGTGGGAGGAATAGCTGCCCCGTCAATGGTGTCAGTGGGAGGAATAGCTGCCCCGTCAATGGTGTCAGTGGGAGGAATAGCTGCCCCGTCAATGGTGTCAGTGGGAGGAATAGCTGCCCCGTCAATGGTGTCAGTGGGAGGAATAGCTGCCCCGTCAATGTGTCAGTGGGTGTCAGTGGGAGGAATAGCTGCCCCGTCAATGGTGTCAGTGGGAGGAATAGCTGCCCCGTCAATGGTGTCAGTGGGAGGAATAGCTGCCCAGTCAATGGTGTCAGTGGGAGGAATAGCTGCCCAGTCAATGGTGTCAGTGGGAGGAGGAATAGCTGCCCAGTCAATGGTGTCAGTGGGAGGAATAGCTGCCCAGTCAATGGTGTCAGTGGGAGGAATAGCTGCCCCGTCATTGGTGTCAGTGGGAGGAATAGCTGCCCCGTCATTGGTGTCAGTGGGAGGAATAGCTGCCCCGTCGTTGGTGTCAGTGGGAGGAATAGCTGCCCCGTCATTGGTGTCAGTGGGAGGAATAGCTGCCCCGTCATTGGTGTCAGTGGGAGGAATAGCTGCCCCGTCATTGGTGTCAGTGGGAGGAATAGCTGCCCCGTCATTGGTGTCAGTGGGAGGAATAGCTGCCCCGTCATTGGTGTCAGTGGGAGGAATAGCTGCCCCGTCATTGGTGTCAGTGGGAGGAATAGCTGCCCCGTCATTGGTGTCAGTGGGAGGAATAGCTGCCCCGTCATTGGTGTCAGTGGGAGGAATAGCTGCCCCGTCATTGGTGTCAGTGGGAGGAATGATGCCCCGAAGGCCAGATAAAGGCGAGCAAAGGGCCACGTCTGGCCTCAGGCCAGTTTGCAGACCACTGGCATAGACATTCCCTCCATCCTGGGAACTAAGGGAGAGTGTGGTGACAGGGCAGCTGGATTTAAACAGACTAGGCTACCAAAGGCCACCTGTTGGACACATCCCAGGAAAATGACAAGTGCTGTTTTTTTTTTTTTTTGGTGCTGCATACTAACATTGTTACCTAGATTGGAAATGGGGATTGTGAACCTAACTCACTGAAACGACCTTGAAGGGACCTATAGCAACCAGTCAATCATTTACAGTAGTCTAATCTGCAACAAGGGATTGCCTATTGGTACAGGTTTTTTTTTTTGTTTTTTTATGAAATCCAATGCAGTAATTCAAGTGCTAGAGAGGTCTGAGGTTTTTCTCAAGCTCTATGAAGAATTCTGGGGAAAGTGCTGAGCCAATCACACATGCTGAAAACAAGACTATAGGGGCCAAACTGCCACTGTTGTTGGTGAGTGGAATGTATCTGTGATACCTAACGATATATATAATTTTTTTTTTTTCAGCTTTTAACTGGAAAATTGAGAAAAACACAGACTTCTATTACTGCCACATCTGCTGTTTACAGAGCAAAAAGTGACAAAGTAAGATTTAATTAAATATTGTAGTACCAAATATATATTTAGAGGGATTGTCTGTAATGAAGACCTGTTTCCTATTCAATTGCTCGTGTATGCAGTATGGGGGAGTCTTCCTCCTGAGCTGATGGCCTTATTGCTGATCTGCAGTCATATCAGTTTTGCACATACAGACATCTTATCTATAGCACATTTCAGGTTTGTAAAGTGAAAGATTGCTTTTTCCAATGTGTGAAGTATGCACCCTGTCTTGGAACTGATAAAGTGTGCACATTAACAGTTTTAAACTAGATCAGTAGTATATGCACTAAAGATGTGGTGCAGTTTTTTGGGAGCATATTGTATTTTGGTACAGTTTTCATGTTACATCAGCACTACAGTCGTGCCACTTAGCAGTTGGTGTGTTCATAAGCAATCAATGGCTTTGTGCTGAACAGCTGTTCTAGTATGCCAAAAACAGAAGCTTTGGCTTGGGCTGTTTAGGCTGAAACAAGTAAGCTATTCTGCAGGGCTGTGTTTTTAGCCTTGTCTAATTAATAAACTTATTCATAAGTATTTTTTGCACTGGGTGAACGTGGGGTTCATTGAACTGAGTTGGAATACACAACTAAAGCAGTGCCTATATACACTCAGGTGCGCTTCCTTCAAATGCCATATAAATAAATGAATAGTGTCGATAATACACAGATTGTGAATATACAAATGTACAAAAATGGGAAGCAATTAAAATACTCAAACCGTTATATCAAAAGCATGTCACGCAACGCATGAAAAAGATGAAATTCAAAAAGTTAAGTCCATGAGGTAGATTCAGACATTAAGACCCAGTGAGCAGGGAATGCAAATCCAAGCTTCAGGACACAGTGAGCAGAAAGTGTTCCTCACAATAGTTCTCCACCACACAACAAACACCCTGCCTCTTAACAAAAGATGTTTATCTCCAGTTATGGCAATAAAAAAAAAATGCTGTGTGTGCCTTTTGAGAGCCTTTCCTGTGAGCCAGTGTGGTCCTCTGCCGTTCCAACCAAAGATTCAGGGTAATGGGTCACAGAACCATGTATATATGCTCAAAGGAAGCCAAAGGAGCTAGCTTAGTGTAAAACTGCCACACGGGATTATTTCAGCGAAGTACCGGCAAACGCTTACAGGATGAGAAGTACAGAGCAGCACAAGAAAACACACTGCCACACTAACGTCACCAGCTAGACCCTGCCCAACATGTTTCATGGTCAGAGAGCGTTCTCAAGGGAAATGGAGCATTATTTATGACATTTGTGTGTGCACATAGGTAACTCAATAAAAAAATACAAAACAATTGAAAAGTCATATTTTAATATTGGATCCTTCCATGATGCTGACTATCTATTGGAATGGAAAAACAGAATGGTTGGCCGCACAAACAGCAATGTGGTGGATGATATCCTTTATTGGAATCCTTTACATGCAGTATGATAAGAACATGACAGCTACAAGACCGGACAGAGGAGCAGCAGACTCGTTTCACATGAACACGTGCTCAGTCATTACTCTAATGTAATGTATTATCATATTGCATATAAAGGATTTCATCCACCATATTGCTGTTTTTCCATTGCATCTGTGATCACGGATCGGGCCAGCAACTGCATGTCTGTGGAGGGATTCTGCAGATTCTGCACTCACCTGGAGCGGATCCTTTGCTCTTTCAGTTGGTCTTGACTATATATTGGAAGCAAGCTGGCAGAAGCTTGGAGTTGGGCTCCTGACCCTGCAGTCTATTTCATTGAAATTTAGGGATTAAGCACTTCTGGGTTTTTATGTAAAAACTGAAGTACTTTCGATTGCTGTTTTTATTACTTTTTTTTTTTTTTTCCCCCCCCTTACTAAAGGATATCATGTTTCGCTAGTGTTGCTCATAAACTACTTCAGCATTTCTGTAGACGTTCTTTATGATCTTTCCACAAGCACCCATCTGTCCCTTATCTATTTTCTGCAACAAAATAAAAGGTACACAGATTGCTGAGTGCACTAGTAATTAGATTGCCTTGGCTATTGAACTTGCATTAATTTCACAAGTACCAGTGGAGTTGATTTACTAAAACTGGAGAGTTCAAAACCTGGCACAGCTCTGCATAGAAACCAATCGGCTTCCAGGTTTTTTGATTTTTTTTTTTCTTTTAAAGCTTAATTGAAGAAGCTTATTGACTACCATGCACTGCTGCACCAGATTTTGCACTCTGCAGTTTTAGTAAATCAACCCCAGTGTGTTTGGTTATTGTAGTATGCTGAATCTTCTATTCTGAATTGTTATATTGTCTTTGACTAACAAGACAGAAGTCTTTCTTGTATTTCAACTTCTTTTATTGTATATACAGGGCTCCAGTTTTACATTAGTTGATATTCCTGGCCATGAGAGCTTGAGACTTCAGTTCTTGGAACAACACAAGACAGCAGCCAGGTACTAAAAACATTGTTGGTCTAAACAGTTGTGTAACTTCTCTGACAAGTTGTAAAAGTAAAGTGTGTTTGTTACAATAACAACTGTCATGGGTATAAAATGCATGAACCCAGCATGTTCTTTTAGAACAAAATGGCAAATTCTGACTCTTCTGGTTAATATCTGATTAGCCTTGTGCTGTCTGCATATTATCCCTACTGACTGGGGATTTTTAATCTGACAGTTGAAATTTAAAGTATTCAAGTTTAAATGTTCCCACCGACACGTCATACGTTGAATATCTTTAGTACGCACATATCTTGATTCTTGGTAAGAATGTTGGTTAACTGTCTGTAAAGAATGCTGTAAAATATTTCAATGTAACTTGACTTTTATATGTAAAGAAAATCATAATGCATGTGTATCACCTACCAAGCATGTTTAGAATGGCATGTCCACTGTCCTCAACTAGTACAACCCAGAAGCAAAAGGAATCTGATAGAAGATTACTTTAAATTTATAAATAATACATTTCCAACCGCCCTGATTAACATTTTGTCAAATCGCTGTTTAGATGCATCCTTTTTGTCCACCTTAAATAAGGAAACCTTTCTTTATATGGTTGGTTACGGGCATCCAGTATTTGACATGTACTGTAAATGATAAAAAGGATCTGCAATTTTATGTTGGAACATTATTTTGAAAATGTTCCAATAATTTTTAGATGCTGCTTTTCAGATCGGTGATCCTCTGCCCGTCTTTTCTTTTGAGATGTTGGCTCTACAAGCTGCTCTTTTTATACCCATTCATGTTACTGACCCGTTGCCAGTTAACCTTTAGTTTCTTCCAGTTCTCTCTTGTTAGTACCACTTACTTTGCCAGATTTTTGTTGCCTTGTCCCAATTTTTGGGGGAATTTGTGTTGTAGATATCAGATCTAAGCTTAAACCTGCTCCCATCCCCATTCTAAGCCCTGTACCAAGTAGCCTGTCTTTCCTCTAGATGTCTATACTTGCCTGTTTCCCCGTGTGCTTCAGTCCAGTCAATGTCCTCCCCAGCAGCCACCTTCATGGGAGAGGAGATACTGCTGACAACAGACGCAATGCCTATGTGATGACCTCACCCACAGACTTACTGTGGGGTGTCCGTTGTTGGCTGTCCCTCCTCTACCTTAAAACCAGCGCTGGAAACCGATCATGTGACTGGAGCACCCAGAAAAAAGGTAAGTATACACCTTTTATCTTCTACAGGCTAGTTAGTATATGGCTTCACATGGGGTGGGAACAGGGCATGTTTAGATAGATATGATTTAGAGGATGTCCTGCTAAAGTGTGGGATAAATGGTTGTGTCTAAGACTTATGTATACTTATGTATTGGTACATGTTCAGTGCATTTGCTCTTGTATTCATTTTGTGTGTGTGTGTGTTTTTTTTTTTTTTTTTTTTGTCTAAACAATTGGCTTATGTGTAACCTCTGTACTATATTGTACATTGTGTTTCAATGTTGTATTTAAAACCTAATAAAGCAGCTTTTCAAATGTGAAAGATTAGATTGAGTTAGACTGGACTTCTAATTTTAAGACTAACTTCAGGGTAGACTATTCTAGCAATGATAACAGAAATATATGTTCATATGATTAGAAAACTGGCATGTAGTATTAGTGCGGTGTATTTGCTATATGAATTATAGGCACAGGTTTCTAAGACTAAAGTTTCACTGTTATTGCTAATGATCCTACCTTTTACTATTACTTGTTTGCAGGGCCATGGTTTTTGTGGTGGACAGTTCAGCTTTCCAGCGTGAGGTTAAGGATGTGGCGGAGTTCCTCTACAATATTCTAACAGATGCCACACTGCAGAAGAATGTCCCACCTATACTAATAGCATGCAACAAGCAAGGTGTGTCCCTGTCTGAGATATGAAATACAAGGGATATGATGTAGGTAGTGTACTGCAATTTGTAGTAAGATAAATTGTGTGCATCTGTTCCTGTTTTACATTCATATTTTTCAACTTTCCTCAGTTTGTGCGTGTGAAACTACCAGATCCACATAGCACCATAAAATTCTTGAATCCTGATTACACTGTTCTCTGCAAATTGAACAAGTTTTAATATATTTGTATCATCCACTTCTAAAATGTATTGTGGCTAATCTCCAAAGATGGAGTAAAATTGGAGTGGTTGGCCATAGCAATCAAACTATTTGTTTTAATCGTCAAAATCTGATAGGTTGATCTGGGCAACTGCTTCAGTTTTACTTTAGTTATCTTCACATAATTGTCCCCATTGCAAATACCTACATGTGTCACAACAGTGTAAGTGAAGACTTTAATATAGAACTCCGGGCAAAAACTTCACATGTACTTGTTGCGGATTTACTAACTTCTCTGAATGTTATCCATCTTCTGGTTCACTCAGTAGTTGCTCTGGAATAGCTTATCCATTTTCAAATGAAACCATTAATTCTCTTTGGTTTCCATTTTGTTAGACTGTAGCTGTTTATGCTTCTTATTTTCCCAAACACTGGTCTTGGCACATCCCTTCTGTAGTTCTTTCTCCAGGAAGCAGTGATGTAATTCAGCCCCACTTGCAGTGGAGGGCAGATCGAGACTCTGATACATTCAACATGTACAGGCCTAGTGCACTCACCCGCATTCACTACATTTACCTGTGGGTGATGGGAACTGTAGTTTTGCTTTCTCTGCAGAGTGGAGAGGATAAGATGTAATCGCTGCTGTTACACCTCCTTCTTGGCAGTGCAGATGCTGTTTTAATTAGAGATGAGGTCATGAAAGTTCAATTGGACTTGTCTCCTAAATCGCGAGGATTTTCAAAACTCTATTAACTGTTTAGTGTTTTGTGTAGGGGGGTGTACTAAAGGGCAAATTTTTTGCCTTTCTTCTTTAAAGCCATATTAAAACCCAAAAACAAAAATGATTTATTGCAACTTACCAATTCCTGGATGTGGTCCCTGCATTAGTTTTTTTTTTTCCTTTATCAGCTGGTGATCCAGCCAGCAACACTTCTTTCTTAGTGTCTCCACCCTGGCTGTACAGAAACACTTTTTGGACAGCAGCATTGTCGGTCTGGGGAAGTAGTGTTTTAGGTGCAGATGGCTTGTCTGAGCCCTCTGACTGCTACTTTAGCTGATAACTTATGTTGAGGGAAAAAATAACACTTTTCACCTGGTGATCCAGCCAGTAAAGGTCAAAACAAAAAAAAAATGAATGCTTCCGCCGCAACCTGCGATTGGTGTGCTGCAAAATGCATTTTTGTTTTGGGGTTTATTACAGCTTTAATAATCTACTGTATGTGGGGGGGGATGCTCCTTTATCCGAAGAGGTGATATGAACTATATAATTAATTTTCTTCCAACAGATATCTCTATGGCCAAGTCAGCCAAACTGATACAGCAGCAACTGGAAAAGGAACTGTAAGTACAGGAAATTGTTGAATGAGCAACTTATTGCTGTCAATAAGTATTGACAGACAAGTTAAAGTGGAGATTTACTTTGTTTATAGGGAACATTTACAAATGGTAATTGTGTCTAAAGCAGTACCTTGAAAAATGTTCCCTTCATCTTGAATTTTTCCTGAACTTTCTGGTATGAGTGCACCTAGGCATTCCTGTGTTTTTGGCCTCATAGCTGTATGTTTTTAGTGTGATATCTAGGCCGCTGCTGCCTCCAACAGCTAGTCTCAGGAGTAAGATTTGATGTTACCACTGTGCTGCACACTGTTTTCATTGCTGGAGAATCAATGCCATGTCTAACAAAATGACCTTGTGCAGAACAAAGCAAGTTAGTAATGAGGAAAGATCGGTCACAGGGAAACGACATACTGGCTGCTAGTTTTTTGCCCTCTGCTTTTTTGGGCACCCCCATATGGAAGAAAATTATATTTGAAACATATTTTAAAAATATTCTTCCCAAATATTGACATATATTTGAAATACTACAATAGTGTGTGTGTGTGTGTGTGTGTGTGTGTGTGTGTGTGTGTGTGTGTTTTTTTATTATTATACTGCATGTTGAAATGCGTTTTTACAAAAGATATGTTTAAAGATACATTTCACATATACCGTATGTCTTTAAAAATACAAATCTACATTTTTGGAATGCATTTATAAAATATGTATATGTTAAAAAAAGATCTGAAGAATATATTTACAAAAAAACATATTTTTAAATTTAACCGGTCCAAGCTGGTGAAAGATCCCGAAGTCCAGATCCACCCCAGAGTCTGGAGCAGCACCTGGCTCAGCCTCTCGGCAATTTGCTGAGACCCTGGGCCAGCTGCTCCCTCCTCCTCCTCCATATCCCAGTGCTCCAGTGAGCCCAGGGGAAAGGGAGACCAGTTAGCGTTGACTGACAGCCACCACGCTCTGCTCACAGTGGCGGTGAGAACTCTGCGTTCAATGGTCATGTAATCGGTGAGCTCTCACACTTAGAGCCGGCGGGGAACAGATGCATCCACCTAGGCCAGTATGATTTGGAAATAGAGATCCCATACTTTAAAAAGTAGAATTATAGGCAAAACTTTTTTTTTTTACCTTTTTGGATAGAGGGAGGGTTTTTACCATCTGTGTCCCATTGAGATTTACCTTCACTTCCTGTCTACTATCCAAAACAGGAAGTGAGAGGAAATTACTGCAAATTAAGGGAATCCCTTGGGGCACCACAAATCACCAGAACTAGTGTCCCATTGGAAGCTTTCCCCCATAATAATTTTTTTCTGGGAACAGCCCAAAATTTGGTGTGTTCTTTTGCTTTCACTTTCAGTAATGCTAAACAGGACAAATAGAGGGTGAATCTCCCTAACAGGGGCACAGACATATTCCAAAGATGAATTTTATAATTTAATCCTGTAACATATTCCCGCAGCCGCAAAAAAATCAATCCAAAACTTAACAAAAAATGTTGCCTCCCGCCTCATCAACAAAACGACAGCTGGGCAGGACCACTGCTATCTTGGGTGGACGTCTTATGACATCCTCCCGGGATTGTGCCTTGCATGCACCCTACGGGCAGTGCTGCAACGCTATCTGTTACCCCACTATGTTTACCAGATGACAGATCAGTGTACCGGACTGCTGCTAGTACCATGTGATCGCTGTTGCCATATCAGTTCTACACAATGGATGGCTTCCATTCATTGTGTACTATTATGTTGGTCACAGTGATCACATGGTAAAGATGGGCTGTGATTGGCCCTGTATGTACCAAGTGATTAGCTGTGGCTAATCACATTAATACACATTGGTTTTCAATCAGAAAAAACTGTTACTTATAGCAGCGATAATGATCGTTATAAGCAATCATAGTGTGGAAGAAAAATCCTGATCACCTCCCAAGTGTAGTACAGTGTTACTATGGTAACACTGTATTGCTCTGGTCACCAGTATGTAAAAAAGAAAAATGTAATAGATTTTTAATTGGAAATTTTTTCTTCAGAATTTTTTTTTTTTTTTTTTTTTTAAACAAAAAATTACAACTTCAAAAAACTCACCATGCCTGTTACTAAATACCTTGGACTGTCACCCCTCCAATGACACAATGTGTTTGGAGAGTAATTTGTACTGCCCTGTATTTTCGGGCCTCAAAATGAGATTACAGTGCGTCAGGATTGATCAATTTTCAGATATATGTACCATGGTTTGTAGACTTTCTAACTTTCCTAAAGACTGAACCGTAAACAGAGATTTGGGTTATTTTCATCAGTGAAATGTAGTGGTATACATTTTAGCCTAAATGTATGAGAAAATATTATGTGTGTGTAATCGAGAAAAAAAAAAAAAAAAATTTATATATATATATATATATATATATATATATATATATATATATATATATATATATTCATATTCTCAAAAATAGACTGCTTTTTTTTCAGAATGTTTGCATTTTTTATTTAGCAAAAATAAAAATACCAGTGGTGAATTAAATACCCCTGAAAGAGCTCTGTTTGTTTGTTTGTTTGACGGGCGGGGGGCTAGTTGTCATTGAGATTGTGACAGCGCTGAAAATTGGCCTGGGCAGGAAGGGGATTAAAGTGTCCAGCATTGAAATGGTTAAATCCTAACCCCTTTTTTTCAGATTGGTGACAGCATCTAATATACAGGCGTTTTATGCTGTTTTGATTCCTAAATTTGAAGAGTGTTGGGTGTTTTTAGTTAGCTTCTGAGGTGTCTGTACTAAAAATTTCTTAGCCCAACTATTACCTGTCTTAATGGAACAGATTGTTAAATTATAACACGGTGTTACCCACAGCCTTCATCCAAAGACTATTGCTGCTTGTTTTCATTAGTTAATTAAACTTGTGTTGTATGTAGATCAGTAAATGTGCATTAACAGGTGAGATTACTCTGCAGGTGTCGCATATGTATGTTACATTCTTGCCTTTCTTTTTCTACAGAAACACACTACGTGTCACTCAATCAGCTGCTCCCAGCACCCTGGACAGCAATAGCTCCCCATCTACCACACAACTTGGCAGGAAAGGCAAAGACTTTGACTTCTCTCAAGTTCCTATGAAAGTGGAATTTGTAGAATGTAGTGCTCGGGACAGCAAAGAGGAAGAGGGGGATGCCAACCTCAGAAATGTAGAGGGCTGGCTGGCCAAACTGGTGTGATGTATAGTTTATTCCATGAATGCGTCACATGAGTGCAAAATCTAACTTGTGCGCCTTCTCTGTGTTGACTGAATAAAAAAACCTTTTTAGTCTAAATGCTGCTCTTAAACTATTTGTAGTGACTGCTGGACACAGCAGAAGGATGCTCTGTCAAGCGATAAAACTACCATTTTCAGTATGCTGGCCTTTGATATTTTGAACTATTTATTTTACAGCTGCTGGCTGAGTATTTGTTCAAATGTTTTTTTTTTTTTTTTTTTTTTTTTTTTTTTTAGTTTCTATAATAAACTTTCCAAAGCATAAGTGTAAGCAAATGATCTTCATGTGTCTAATTTATCAGAAATTCTAGATGTGAAAGTCACATATAAGTGCTCACACACATAAATTGTGACCTTTTTATTAGTGATATCAACTGGCCACAGACATGACTTCATTAAAAAAAAAATGTATTTGTTGCATGTTTATCTGTTATCAGCAGCTGACTCCTCAAACCTCTACGATTATGTAAAACAAATATGGATGATGTGCTACTTGCTAAGCCCTGGGCAGTCACTTGTTGAATATATGGCACACATTTTTCTCATACATTGTGTTGTGTTTTTTTTTTTTTTTTTTTAATACAGATGTTGCTTTCTATGAGATTGCAGTGGGAGGTAATTTGATGTGCCGAAAGATTGGTGTCATTCAGGCCACCTGCTCCTGACCACTGTCATTGTGAAGGACCTCACAGCTAGAGTACAATGCATCATGGAAGCTTCTGTTTTGTCCTGTTCAGCTCTGCGTATAGCTGAGCTCCAGCCTTTCCTGTAGGTTTGCACAGTTGTATAGGCTCCTCAACTGTACTGAAACTACTTACTCTGATTTTACTGCACAAGGAAGCTTTAGCATTTCTGGGCTGGAGGATGTTCAGCAAATCTACCCCTTTTCTTCTCCAGCCTTACTGTCCTTGGCCCAGCACTTATTTATTTATTGGATTTCTGTTTGATCAATCATGGCACTATAGCATGACATATGGATGTTACTAAGGCAGACTGCATGCAATGTCCACTCCTCAAGACTGAAATGATCCAAGGCATTTTGATAATTTTACAACTTCTCTCAAGAGGCTCTTGAGTGAAGCACTGAGGCAGCGTTTTATTATATATACAGCACAGCTAGCACCTCCAGCAGCTAAAAAAATGAAGACCTAGTGATGTCATGTGTTTTCTGCACATATTTCAGTTCATATTTTCTCTTTGCCTATATTAAGGGATTATGAGAATAGAAATTAGAGTACCCAATGCTGGCCTGTTTTTAAAAGTTGCAAGCTTTAGCACTTCACTGCCTAATGAATCCATGCCCAACCCACAACAAGCAACTATTGAAGTCAGGAATCTGTACCTGCATACTTGTCCCAGGTCAGCTCGCAAAGCAGTAAAGGCAGGATAAAGATGCCGGTTCTAAAACCATGACTGCTTCTAAGGGCGTATTCATACATAACTCTCGTGTACATTGATTTTAAGTCTGTAATGTCATCACGCAGCGGTGTGTCAGCTGACACTGTGGCTGTTTTGCTTTTATATGACACCGCTTGTTATCTACATATATGTACAGTAAGTGTATTCCTTTTTTTTTTTTTTTTTTTTAAATAAAGTTTTAATGTATTGCACAATGAGGTTTCTCCCTACTTGTGCTCCATACATGCTATTACGATTAGCAACATTTGGAAGTTAGAGGATTTGCCAACACACATCAATGAGGTTTTTAGCCATTCAACAGTTTGACAGCAAGAGTGCCATCCTTTTAATTTGGAGTTTGGGCGCTTTTGATCTCTGTAATTCGAGATCATTTTAATTTGTAAGAGGCCCCTCTATTTCTCTCTAAGGAGAACTGGAGCACTTTTACGTGGAACTTTACAAGCACTGAGCACTTTGATCCAGCACGAACTATTAGTGTACATGAAAAGCATATGAACTTTTTTTTTTTCTTGTTGAGAAATGTTGCACTTATTTTTTACATGTGTTTTGTAAAGTATTCACAAATTTGCTGTTTGTTTTTTTATGATTTAAAGGGAATGCTTGTTTTATTGGTAGTGGGTTCAGTATTTGGGACATTTTGGTTGCAGCATTCCTATATACACTTTTGTTTTTGGCAGATCACAAGAATATTTTATTTTTCAGATTACTAAATGTATGTAGTGACATTTTTTTTAGTTCCCAGAGCATTCTTATGTACCTTTTTTATATTAAAATATCAATCCACACAAACAGTATGTGCACCCTTTTTTGTGGGTATGCAAAGTCAGATAATGTTAAACAGACACATGCCTAAATCTGCAACACCGCTCCAAACCCCTTCCACTCGTCTATCAAAAGCTGTTAGGGTGCCAGCTCCTATAGCCTGTTTCCTCTTCAACAGCAGTGTGAAAAAAGGTGAAAGTCGTACTCCATCTTAAATTCTTCATATTTTATTTCATGAAAACCAAAGTGCATGCATACATACTGTGGCTGATTTACTAAAGGCAAGTAGATTGTGCAATTTGCAAGTGCTCCAGAACTTCATAAATGAGAGTAAGCTCTGTGGACTTCCATCCAACCATGTGCAAAGAGAAGCTTCACCTCATTTACGAATCTCTGGAACAACTGCACTTGCAAAGTGCACAGTCTTTGCCTTGCTTTCTCACAGGGATTAGAGTAGGTCATATTTAAACTTTCACTTCACAACAATATATCCACTGCAACATAGTAACCATATAGTTTGATTATATTACACTATATTTGAGTAGTCTCTTCATAATGTGGCTGCAGACAACCCCTTAGACAGAAGCTTAAGGACTTCACATGTCCAACACCAGGCCGCAAGGACATGCTTGCTTCAAAGGCTCTCATCTTGGAGAGAGTTGTTATAAGAATAGGTGTCCCAATTGAAGGATTTTCCTTTACTACTTGCTGTGATGACAACGCTATCATTTTGGATTTCCCTTCTCTATTTGTCTCAGATGCAATGGTCACCACAACAAATCGATCACCCTGTCATTGACAAACTGCAATAAAATGCTACCATGGGGGATCATTTTTGCATTCCCCCCCCCAGAACTAAAACAATGTTGCCTTTAAATACAGTTAATTCTGACCAGCACAAAATGTTATTACATGTTCTGGATATAGGCAGTTGGTGGATAATTTTCCCTTATTTCAAAGGTAACCGGTGTCATCTGTAAGAGTTAGGAGGCTGCTTTCCCACTGATCTGTTTTTTTTTTTTTTTTTTTTTGCTTTTATGTTTAAAAAAAGTGGCCGAAAAACTTATGGCCATTTAATCCTATGGAACTCTTCACACTGATCTGTTGTGGGTCCACTGTGTTTAGTAAAATCTTGCTGCATTTTTGGTGTGCTTGCTTTGAAAATGTAGTAAAAATGCACCTGCATTGTTTTTTTATGCAATTTTTGAGTCACCAGTTCTGTGAAAAATGCATTATAAACATTGTAAAATTTTTGCTACAGATCAGTGTGAAAGTAACCTTAAGTGGAGGCTTCATGAGGAGTGGTGGAACATCATGTGATGGAAATGAACCAAATAAATAATACCCCCTCCACATTCCATGTTATTACAATGTTCCCGTGTAATCTTTGGCTGTCAGAACACTCTGCTTCTGCTGTGTGTTTAACTTGGAGATATTAGTAGCAGTGATCAGAAGTTTAACAAGGTTCTTTTCCCCTTTTTAATAGTTAGATACTCTAGACCAAATGTAGATTCACATTTAGCAGCTATTCTGCACATCTCAAATGTCTGCCATTTAAACATAATAACAACACAATAAGTTTGTGTCACATAGTTTTTGGCAATTTTAATAAAGTACAATTATACATATATTACAACAAAAACTGGAAATAAAAATAAAATGTTAATAACAGCATTTAGAGTCAGGATTTCCTTTCTCTTCTGAAGTGTGTTGGGGGGCTTGTATGTGTAGGGAGGTATTTGTTATCACAGGGAAGAGAAAGAATATTTCATCTAAAATTGTAAAAATAAAGTTAGAGTAAGCTTGGTGGATGAAGGGATTTACGTGTGCATATTCAAATCAAATCCATTTGGAGTACTCTTGGCTTTCACCAGTTGGCATAGATTAAATCACTCGGTGTACAGGTACTATCTACGTCTAGACACTCGGTAGTAAGGGAGTGATTCTGTACATTTAATTGTTTATAACAAGGTGCATATATAAGGACCTGGGGATGTGAGCACAAGAGGGACAGAAAGAAGACAATATGGAATAAAAGTGCAATGAGTAACAATTATGGAAGGACTCTGGTAGAAGAGAGAGAGTAGAAGACTCAAGACCAACACAAGAGCCAAAAGGCAAAAAAAAGACAAAAAAGCAAACAAGGTTCCAGGGAGGTGGGAGAAGTCAGGAGCAGTGGAGGATCTTGACATTCTCTGGATGTATTTTCCAAATGTTTGTTTTTCCAGGCTAACCAATAGGAAGCATCTTGGGGCTAAGCACATGGCCTCTGGCAGCTCACCTGTCATGCGCTGCGTATTAGCAGGAGCACCCAGCATCAGTTACTTGCGGTTCTTGAGGTTTGTCAAGTTTAATGTCAATCACTATAGCAGAGGATTAGCAGTTAAGGAACTTATATTTACAGAAGACCCTACAGTGAAAATAAAACTGATGATATGAAAAAACTGTATTATCAGTAATGGCTGCTATAATACAAGACAGGACACATTTAGTTTCGTAAGGCAAAATCTACATGCAGCCCTATGGACAGGTGGGTGTAAATGGACTTACCTCCTGTGTCCGATCCAATCTGCTAAAAAAAAAAAAAAATGTAAGGGGATCTGTCCTCTTCAGTTTAGGCGGATTGTAGATATTTGGATGTAAACAGGCAGTAGAGTACCTATATTCCTGACCATGCGTAGGGCACATCGGGCTGTGTCCGTGACTGCTCATCCGGCTGTTTTACTCTGATGAGCAGAATCCACCTTGTGTGAAAGGGACCTAACCATCTACATAATGCAAACATTCTATTAGGTCTGCAAGCCCCTGTAATCACATCAATATACAGTTAGGTCCATATATATTTGGACACAGGCACAATTTTAGATTTTTTCAGGTATTTATCAAAACATTTTCAAGCTATAGTTCTATAATGGATATGGGCTGAAAGTGCACTCTCAGGTTTAATTTGAGGGTATGTACAGTTTTAGGTCCATATATATTTGGACACAGGCACAATATTAGTTTTTTTGTGGTATGGACCAAAACACATTCAAGCTATAGTTATATATGTACATCCAAATTGAAGGAAGGTTTTAGGAATTACAGCTCTTAAGAGTAGCCATCCCCCCTTTTTCAAGGGACCAAAAGTAATTGGACAATTGAATCAAAACTGTTTCATGGCCAGGTGTGGGCTACTCCTTCGTTATTTCTTCATCAATTAAGCAGGTAAAAGGTCTGGAGTTGATTCTAAGTGTGGTATTTGCATTTGGAATCTATTACTGTAAACCTACAGCATGCGTTCAGAGGAGTTGTCCATGCAAGTGAAACAGGCCATTGTAAGGCTTCAAAAACTAAACAAAGCTATCAGAGAGATAGCAGCAACATTAGGAGTGACCAAATCAAAAATTTGGTACATTCTGAGGAAAGAACGCACTGGTGAGCTCAGCAACATATAGAAGCATGGACATCCAGGGAAAACAACAGTGGTGGATGATCACGGGATCCTCTGTATGGTAAAGAAAACCCATTCACAACATCCAGACACTCTCCAGGAGGTGGGTGGTTCATTGTCAAAGTCTACAATCAAGAGAAGACTTCATGAGAGTAAATACAGAGGGTTCACCACAAGGTGCAAACCATTCATAAGCCTGAAGAATAGAAAAGCCAGATTAGACTTTGCCAAAAAACATCTAAAAAAGCCAGACCAGTTCTGGAAAAGCTTTTTTTGGACGGATGAAACTAAGTAATCTGTACCAGAATGACGGGAAGAAAAAAGTGTGGAGAAGGCTTGGAACAGCTCATGATCCAAAGCACACAACGTCAACTGTAAAACATGGTGGAGGCAGGGTGATGGCATGGGCATGCATGGCTTCCAGTGGCACTGGGTCATTGGTGTTTATATGATGTGATAGAAGACAGGAGCAGCTGGATGAATTCTGCAGTGTTTAGAAATATACTGTCGCCCAGATTCAGCCAAATGCAGCAAAGTTGATTGGACGGCACTTCACAGTACAGATGGACAATGATCCAAAACACTGCAAAAGCAACCCAGGAGCTTTTGAAGGAAATGAAGTGGAATATTCTGGAATGGCCGAGTCAATCACCTGATCTCAACCCAACTGAGCATGCATTTCACTTGCCGAAGGTAAAACTAAAGACAGAAAGACCCACAAACAATGAACAACTGAATACAGAGCCTGGCAAAGCATCAGAAAGGAGAAAACCCAGTCTTTGGTAATGTCCATGGGTTTCAGATTTCAGGCAGTCATTGCCAGTAAAGGATTCTCAACAAAATATTAAAAATGAACATTTATTATTATTATATTCAATTGTCCAATTACTTTTGGTCCCTTGAAAAAGGGGAGATGGCTACTCTTAAGAGCTGTAATTCCTAAACCCTTCCTCCAATTTGGATGTACATACCCTCAAATTAAACCTGAGAGTGTGCACTTTCAGACCATATCCATTATATAACTATAGCTTGAATATGTTTTGGTAAATACCTGAAAAAATCTAAAATTATGCCTTTGTCCAAATATACTGTATATGGACCTAACTGTACGTCCCATACCATGTTGATATTGTATAAATACAGTATTAGCTATATATAAGTACACAGGTCAGTCAGCTGTGCTCTACTTCATAAAGTTATTAGAACACAGATGTTATGAATTTTTTTTTGGCAAGTTTATGGACTCTACTCAGTAAAAACCCTCCTTTTGTGTCTATGCTGTACCTCTATTTGTAGAGGTGACCAAAGCAAAACAATGTGCAATTATTATGTATATCCTGAAAAATATAGGAGCAATTCAATACAGAGGTTATAAAAAGCACCAGGTTCTGAGGTTACAAAGCCTCTATGATAAAGGATACTGCCATCCTTGCTCTTCTCCTCTGTACACTCCATCCCAGGCAGTGCAGAAGCCACTCGGCGAAATAGCTGTAAAGGAAACAATTGCAAGTCAACATGGCTATCAATGTTGGGATCATGGTCTTGCTATTCCTTGTGGTTTCCTCTTTTTAGATGCTCTGCAAATGATATGCCAACCAATAAAAATCGTAAAATTCTTTCTGTTTTCTCTTAGTGGGCCTGATGTATAAAATCTGTCTGCATTTCCAATAGCAACCAACCACATTCAAGCTACTATGTTCTAACTCAGTTTAAGAAATTTTGCCTCAGTCCTCTGGCAGTGCATTTCCAAATGTAGGAAACCAAAATGGTTGAACTATAAGTGGGCATTACATAACTAAACAATGGAAAAATTGGGATATGAGGTAATGACTCTGATGCTAGGCAATACTAAGACCACAAGGGAAAGACTTGCCAAGGACTCAGTTGACTGGGTTTAGCAAGAGCAAGAAGAGATATTCAAGAAAATATATTCATAAAATTTAAAGCATATTTCCACTTTCTTGGGGAAAAAAATATCACAAATAAAAAAATAGTATAACATTTACAATTATGACACAAGTTATTGTTTAATTTATTGATATTACAAATTATTTTTCCTTTTCAATCTGCAGTTCTGTCATTTTCTGTAAAATTCAAAGTAATATGGCAACCTGAAGGCCTTCTGTTACACAGTTGGTGCACAGAATTTCCTGCTTGTGTGATGAGATAAGTCATTTTAGACAAGAGTAGAATTGGCACATGAAGAGGACAGAGCTCCAGTAAAATCCAATGGGTCTATTGAGAGTCCTAAGATTAAGATATATATATATATATATATATATATATATGTATCTCTATAAGTCCAAAAACACTTTTGGCTGCTGAATACCAGAGTTAGAAGCCAGCTCTGGATTGGTAAACATAAAAGGGAAAGGAGAGCACCATCTGAATGTAGTAAAAGGACATACCGTTTAATAGAAAAATATATGTTAAACGGTGTGTGCTTATACTACACTCAGGTGGTGCTCTCCTTTCCCTTTTAAGTCACATTTTAGGCATCCTTTGCAACAAAAATGTCAGTTTGGGTGAGGTACTCCCAAAGGGTTTATTGCTCCTAAAGAAATACAGACCCTGCCACTCTCATTAGAACACTGCAGGTGCATCTGCTGATCGCTCCCATTCAGAATCAGTCTGGCACAAAGTAAGATGTAACAAAGAGCAGAAACAGATAGGAATCTGCAACAAAGTTTGTTAAAGCCTTTGCAATGTACATAGATCACCCAGAGGTGATTGCTTTTTTTTCAACAAAAGTGGAGTTACTCTGTTAAACTAAAGATTAGGCAGTTAAATACACAGATGAAATATATTTAGAAAATAAGCATGGCTGAAGCTTTTTTTGGTCATGCTTCTCTTGTGAGTCACAGGAGTGCTTGTACGTTTGCTCCCCTGTGACCCAGAGGCAGCTTATGGCAGGCTATTGCTTGCTATCAGCTGACGTCACAGAGCCTTTTTTCATGTCTCTGAAAGGATCCCGACTATATTGTCAGGATCCACCCAGCTGCCTGATTGACAGCTGGATCCAGCTCTAGGCTGAGAGTCGAACCCAGCTGCACCCGCCATCAGTAATGCTTGGCGTTCCAGGGGCAAGGCAGAGCAGAAAAAGGTGACTGACAGTCATAGCTGTCTGCTCTGAGCAGACTGAGAGCAGAGCTGATGTGGAACAGCCTGTGAGGAAGCTGTTTTACCTGCCAGAGGATTTGTATTTCTCCCTGTCCATTTTGGGGGTTTACAAAGCTCTGACATACAAGAGAGCCCTGTTTGGTAGGACAAGGGACCTGATTTTTCTCTGCTGTAGTTCAGTAACACTTGTACCTCCTATCCCCATCCCCACTCTGTGTCTAGATAGTAAAAGGAGAAGCAGGAACTGATGATCTTGTCACTCTGCTCTCTTATACTGCTTGCCCTGCATCACAACTTATTGGCACCTTGTGTTGCTTTTTCTTCCTGAGTCAGAGCTTCCTTTTACAGGGACTTCAAGAAACTGATATCAGGGCCAGGGCATATTAAAGTACTGCTCGCATTTTAAAAAGCCATGTAAAGCTACAGTATATAAAGAGCTATACAGAGCTACATTTGTGTCTTTTATATCGGCCTGGAGTTCAGGTTTAAAGTGAATTTAAAGCTGAACTCCAGGAATTCAGCTTCTTTGTAAAATGTGGTGGATTAGTAGGGGTGCGTTCAGTGGGCTGCATGCCACCTTCTGGAACTCGCTCTTTAATTTACAGTTTACATCTTTTCCTGAGTTCCGGTAGCTATTGTAATGTTCTGATGCTGGACCTTCTGGTCTCAGCTCCGTCAGCTGCAGAGTCGCATGCAGCTTCTATGCCTGACCTCTCATCTTCCTGCTCAATCACAGAGTGCTTTGTATTAAGGTCTCCATGTACATGGAGATTTGGAAAACTCTTGTGAACAATGGAAACTGCTGAAAAACATAGGTTAAAAAAAGTCTGTTTAGCCGCATTTGCACACCGTGTTTATGTATGTGCGCTTAGAAGTGTTTTTAAAATATAACCTAAGGAGACCTTCCCAAATGCTCAGAATGCACTGAAAAACGAGTAAATAATTAACTATTTCAGACATTTTGAGAGAAATAGAGTTGAAGCAGAGAGAGCAGTATGTGTTGAGATTACCTGTCTTTTCTGGTTGTATTCACTATGGATCCCATCTTGAGCATAATGCAGCACGTTCTACCATTTTTTACTTCATGCAAAACCTGGAACTGACTGCGCTGGTGTACCGGGTCCATTTGAATACATGGAAAACGCTTTGCATGCATTTCTGATGATGAAAAAAGGCTCTGGACAGCATCTGGACATGGAACAGTTAAAAAACGCTTCTAAACGCAAACGCTTATAAATGCGGTTAACTGCATTTACAAGCATTTACACGCGTTTGGCATTTGAAATGCCGGTAAAATCTACTCCTAAACGCAAGTTTGGTTTCAAAAAAATGACTGTAAACTCAACTGCCTGTAAACGACATAGTGTACATAAATACATAGGAGAACATTGGGGAGAGTTCAGGGGCTGCTGAAAAAAACGCTGAACAGCTCCTGAACGTCAGTTTAGGAGCTGCAGTGTACATGAGCCCTTAGTGAACTCATACAAAAGCTTCTATGAATGAATGTCAGAGGGGGAGGGGAGGGGCTGGGCATAGAAGCTGTGTGTAAGAAGAGCTCCTCTCTTGTCAGAGCCCTGGGAGTTTTTTGATAGCTGCACTCCTGGAGCTCCATAAATATGTCAGATGTAAATGAAAGAGGTGACATGCGCCTCACTGGACTTAACTCATTGTATGCCAGCACATTTTACAAAATGGCTGAATTCCTGGAGTTCAGCTTCAACCCACCCCCCCCCCCCCCCCTATTGAACCAAAAAATCTAAACTTGTTACTATTTTTGCAATAATATTTAGAGTTTTAAATTGTTTTATCTCACCAACACTGACAAGCGACATTACTTGCGGTGTTCCCCAAACCTGTTACCCAGTCCCACCAGCAGTTCATGCTTTGTAACTATCTACATGGGTAGCTTCACAGCTTTCCTGAAACAGTAATTACTCGTTGTGCATATGGGAGGTTACATGCAAAAAATGCACTGTTGATGGAACCTGATGACACGATCAAGAAAAATTGACCTTTTTTAAAATTTGGTGAAGATGTGCAATAGTCTATAGCAACCAACCAGACTTCAGACTGCTGAAATGAGCTCAGTTAAGCGTTACAACTGGTTGCTACACTTCTTACATAGGCATTCATGCTACATTGATTTACTAAATAAGATTGTAAGTTCTGAAGGTTAGGTGAAGGTTTTGACAAACACATCTTCTTACCTGTTTAACATTGTATCCTGTTTTGGCACTAGTTTCAATAAACATGACATTGAGCTCCTTTGCCCGTTGCTCCCCTTCTTCTATGGTGATCTGCCTATAAGGCAAAAATCATTTCAGTTACAAATGTTTAACAACCGCAATCTAAAGGAAATAATCCATGGCTTCTCTCTTTGCCATAATTATGTTACCTGAATTAATGGGTACTGTTAAATCCATAAATACAACAAATGAACACTTTTGCCTTTATACCTACCATTAGAAGACAAGATAATATGTCATCCAGAATCCATCTACTCAGTGTGCTAACAGCAAGATTTACAAAACTTGCATTGCATTATAGGAGCTCTTTTTCTCTGATTTACCCCCTGGTCACATTGGGTGCGACTTGGCAAGCGATTTGCATGCCATGCGACTTGCAAATCATATGCCAAGTTGCACCCTATTGTCTGGTATTAGAGCGGTCATATCGGTGCGGTTCTGACGTCAAAGCCGCATCAATTTCTAAAGTAGTGCATGCACTACTTTTGTTGCGATTTGTTTAGACATCTGTGTCAGATGTCTTGAAAATCGCAAATGAAATCGGCATGTCCCCCGATTTTGAAATTGTAGGACTTCACTGTAAGTCACATGATTTCAAAACCGGCTTTGATGTGACTGGGGGCTTAGCCCTGGTTCACACCCCGGTGCGACTTCAGGCGCGACATGGAATTTGCAAATGGCACCTGAAGGCGTATCTAATGTATTTCTATGGCACTGTCCTAATCAGTGTGATTTGAAGTAATGCGATTTCAAAAATAGTTCCTGCATTACTTTTTTACGATTTCATTGCAACTTACATTGACTTCTGTTAAATGAAGTTGCAAGCCACAGTGAAATAGGAGATACAAATTGCACCGATCTGCAGCTTTGAAATCTCACTACTTCAAGTGAAGTAGCACGATTTCAAAGTTGCATTCAGTGTGACTGGGCTTTCACTCAAATATTTCACTTCAACACATGGATCCCACATCATGGTGTTACCATAGAAGGGGGTCCTTCACAGGAAGGGTTGTCTTTTTGTACTGTTATTGTATAAAGGGAATATATTATACACACCTATTGGTGTTTCCCTTTGAAGGAACCCTGTCTTAAAAAAAAAAATATATATATATATATATATATATAAATAATATATATAAGCTGTCAATGCGTATCTTCTTTAAAAATGCCAGTTTCTTAGTGACTTCATATTTTTTAAATCATTGACCTGCAGCAAGCATGAAGAAGCCAGAGTGTAATCAAAACATTTGATCTGCATACATATTTTTGGATTCTGGGTCAGAAAATAAAATGTCGCACCTTCTGTGTGCCACTATGTGATCTCTCCCTGTTTAAACTACAGGGTGCTCCCATATTTTCAACTATAACTTTAAATTCCTTTAACATGAAGTATGATCACAAAAAACTTTCTGCAATCTTGCATGGAAATGGTCCAATGTGTTTCAAAATATATTCTTCCCCAAGGGCTAGAGGTGAGTTAAAGTGTAAGTCATCTAGTACCTATCAGCCAAAAAGGTAGTTAAAAACACATTCCCAGTGGTGCAGCCATTACCTCCACCACAACAATCAGGCGAAAGCCAGACTCCCCACGGGAGCCCCAGATGAGCAGGTAGTGGATGGATCACTGTGCATGTAAAGGTGTCACAGCTTGTCTCATGGAAGAATGTAAGGAAACTACTAACAGTTCATATGACCAAAGACAGTTCAACCAATAATGTAGCAGAAATGTTTTAATGTGAACAACAAAACTAACATGGTTTTTAACGAATATGGTGTATTTTAGTTGGCATGATAAAAATCCCATTCTAATTGTATCCATTGTATGTCTCAAGGGCTGTGATATCGCACATATATGTCTCTTTATATATCATTTAGGGTAGTTTTCTCCCCTATTTGTCTGACAGCAAGCACAGAGAAAAGTTATTTCCTTGTGCCATCAAACACCTTCACTGTCTATGACTTCTATTGATATAGGTACTGTGTACTGTTCTTAAAAAAGGAAAAAACCTTTAAAGTGTAACTGAACCCAAAAAAGTGAAAATTTGATATCTAATGAGGAATATCTAGAGATATTGTGTCTCAGCAACAAGACATGCTAAATTCAGTGATGGTGATGAAGAGATTAGCTGCAATACTACTGCCTTGTCCTTTAACTTCTCTTTTCCAAGCACAGTTTACAGGATTCAGATCCTTTTTTAGGTGTTATATTATATTTTTTCAGAAGTCTTTATTGAACTTACTAACTTGTCTATTTGGTTTTCTTAAAGTCGGTCATAGATGGTTCAAATCTCAGTCGGTTCAGCAGGGACCGGCTGAGATTCAAACCATGTATGGGCAGGCTGATTGTATTCAAGCTTTTATAGCCACTAGCAAAATTCATTGTGTTCTTCCAGTGGGGATGGCTCCCCTCCACCCCCCTCCCACCAGGAGAATACAATGGCTCCGCTAGGGATAACTGAGCGATTTTCTTTCCTGCAACCTGTGGTTACAGGAAAGAAAATCGCTCTGTCTATGGCCGGCTTTAGTTTAATTAAGCTATGCATTAGCATAAAATAAGACAAACACTAAGTCAAAGGCAGGTCATACATTATGCAATTTATTTCCTCAAATTATGGGTCGAAGGAAAGAAAATTGCTCGATTTCCCCATCAACACTAACTGTGTATATATATTCAACCAAGGGCCGAAGGTAGGAAAATTGCTTGTTTCCCCCCATCAACACTGACTGAATCCCTACTGCAGCGCCATTGTGTTTTGGATGAGGGGAGCGCGGGGAGCCTTCCCCACTGGCAGATTACAATGATCACTGCTGGCTGTCGACTTCACTACAACCAGCCTTCCCATAAATGAATCAAAATCCAGCCAGATCCTGCTGAACTAGCTGAATTTCAATCTGTTTATGGCTGGCTTAAGATTGCCTATGACTCCCCTAAATTGACCATAATACATACATAATGCGACTTATTAAGATAGTAGTTTAATAGTCAGTCCTGAACAAACAGCTATATAGATAATTCCCTTGATCTACAAGCCAGTTATAAAGATTGTGTAGGGGGCATGCAGATGACACTCTGCAGTAGAGACACAGCAGATGCATCCTTTGGCTTGCATACTTTCCAGGAAAATAAAACCTTCCCATCAGCACCTTCAGAGAAGCCAGCATTAGTCTTTCATAGTAGAGACATCAAATATCAATATCTATTGATTTATTACATTTGATTTCTGAACCCATGAGATATTCTAATGTTTGTTGTGTTGGGTCAATAGACAAAGCTGTCATTATTCTGGCCCTAGACAGCAGTTTTCAGATACATTGAAAGGATATGGAGAAGTGATGAGGTCGCAAAACCGCAAAAGCTTTGAATTTATGGAGGCCAGGTTCCCAGGGTGACAACATCTATAGGTTGAAAATTACCTTATGTCCTAGTGCGTTTCTTACTGAAGGAAAAATAGGAAATGATATACTGCATATTGAATTGGGAAGTCACAGGGATGTTTGGCTAAAGAAGACAGCATAACAAAAGAGACCTTGAAAGGAATATAACTGAAAACTGAAGGGCAGATTGTTTCTTTTTGTTAGCTTTCAGTTTTGACTGGAGTGTACTAAACCCCTCTTGACTATAAGAGAACATTGATTAAGGGTTATAGATTTCCTTTGGAAAAATAAATATCTAAAGTAACGGTGGAAATTCCATCAATGAGTGGAGACTACAAGGTGAAATTACTGCTACTTCTGCCCATAATCCTTTGATAATATAAAAAGATATATAAGAGAAAATAGTAAACAAGCAATTTGTACTTACCGTTTATCTGCCAGATCTGTTTTATTTCCAACAAGCATTATTATGACATCACTTCCTCTTTCTGTTCTCACATCGTCAATCCATTTGGATGTTTGATGGAAGGAGTTCAGATCTGTAAAATGAAATGATTAAAGCTGAAGTTTGATCTGCTTATATTTTGCCTTCCCAGGTTCCTCCTTTCCTCCCTCATCAAAATGAAATCATTACCTCAATCTTTCCGTTTTTCATTACATACCTTATTTTCGACCTAGTGACATCATCACTGAATCTTTGTGCTTTTCTATGCAGTGCAGGCAGATCATAGTTGGAGCCTCCTGAAAACATCACATCACCCTGAGATGATCTAGTGAATGAAACGCGTTGGGTAGGGCTATTCACTGTGACATATGTTGGGAACACAGACAGAAAAAAAACCTGTTCTCTTTCCTGCTCTATCCAAAACTAGAAAAAAAAGTTTTGACTGGAAGTCATCTTTAAGATCGAGATTAAGGTTGTTAAATATTATTTTTCAGATTAGGGCTAAATAAAATGTTAAAGGTTCATTTTAACGGTTATGTTAGAGAATAAGGTTAAAGTGAAAGTGTTGAAGGGAATATACAGTATATGTATTGAGGAGAGGCATTCCATTCAAGTCTTTGAGTCTATATTAGGTCAAATGTTAGGACTAAGAGGTAGGTGTTAGGGGACGGTTAAGAGTTAATTTTTAATCTAAAGTACATGTCCACATTTACATGAAATATTGAACATTCCCCCTGCATTGCCCCTCAATACATAGATCTGGTCACCCCTCAAACAAGTGCACACTTACATTCTTCTTTAATGTGAGAGGTTAGTAGTCCAGCCAGTTGCAGGGCTGCCTGTGCCTGCGCACTAAGTTTGCACAGACTTAAATGGGATGCTTCCCCTCAATATGGGTATGTCCCTATGGGACATTAGTGCCCAGGCAGGCACCACCACACTAGATGTTTACTAGCCAGGCTGCAGACATTGCTTGAGATTGCAGCTGCGGGAGGAAGTAGGCACCTACTAGAGGTGGGACCCAGATACATTGAGGGGGATAGGGTTGAGGGCAAGGCAACTTTTTATTAAAATGTGTACTTTAAAGATTAGGTTAAGTTTTAAGGTTCAGGTATGGGGAAAGCAAGAGGTAACCTATAAGTCATTATCATGGTGTCAAAAACTAGCACTCATGTATGGTTTTAAAGAGTATACAATTTAGGATTTTGTGGGTATCTGGTTGTTCTCATGTCCTTCAATGTTCCAAGAAAATATAGTAAGTTAGCTGACATCTTTCCTAACTGCTTTGAGTGTGGCAGGGACAGTAATCTTTGAGTTCCTTCTTGGAAAATGAACTAATAGGAATGGGTCTGTGCTGTGTAGTGTATCAGTGCTACATAAATTTGCACATATAGTCTAGTTTAAATATATATGGATGGATAGTAGATGTCTTTTAGAGAAGAAACAGAAATGTATATATTTTATCCTATGATGTACAATTCCTGTTAGTGGGTCAGTGAAGAAGACCATGTGCTACCATGCAAGACATTACCCATAAACAGGGCTTTTTTGCAGCAGGAATGTGGGGGAACACAGTTCTGGCACCTCCAGCACTGAATGTATGTAATGGCAAGGGGTGCTGGAGAGTCTATTGATGCTGGCTGCTAGATCCCTATTGTTGCTAGGGGGTCTTATGTTTCTGGTGAATCATTTTTTGCTGGGAGGCATCTACTGTTGGAGGAGGGGGTCTGTTATTGCTCGCTGCTGGAGGGTCTATTCATGTTGGCTGCTGGGAGATCTGTTGATGCTGCCAAGGGTCTATTGTTACTGGTATACATCTATTGATGCTGGGGGGTGTAACAGCGTATACCCAGAGATGGACGCGGTTCAACCATTTTGGCTTCAACCTCCATCTTGGCAAAGGGATTAACCATCCTGACAAATATATTTCTCTCTCATTCTTCCCCCCTCCCTCCTTAGAGAGGCCCAGCGACATTTGGCCAGTATGTGTGTGAGTTGGGAATGTGACAGGAGGGTCATAGGAGCTATAAAGCCCCCCAAGGGATCCGGGGCCTCCCTGTCCAAACAACCTGCATATTGTAACACCTCGGAAGAGATAAGGCAAGCTTTCCCAGGAGTTGAAAGAGATTCCCACCTAATAAACCTAACTCAGCGTAGGTGACAGATTCAGATCACCTTGTTAAAATCCATTGCTCCCCTATGTCTCATATCTTGGAATATGAGAGACTTACATAAAAAGCAGACCTATCATCTGATTGGCCACGAGAAGGCGAACAGTTTGATAGGTCGCTTGCATTGTCTCGGATACATAGGAAAACAGAAAAGTAGATCTTGTGAACCGTACAGTGTATAATTTCATAATTCATATCTAATCAATCCTCAGACGTGTCTGCATAATAATCTACCCGCGGGTGGAATGTCACTTGTGCAGCTGGAAAGTTATGGGCCAAAATATGAGTTACGGGAGATTTTGGCTCTAGTTGAGGTATCCACCCCAAACCTCCACGCCCTAAGCGGGGTATTGGTCCTTGACTTCAGAGACACCCCCTGCTGGGGACTACAAAATAGGCTGTCAGGCCTAAGAGTCTAAGTTGAAGACGTCTCCCATTTTAACATCAATACCACTTGGGGAGACCCATGCCCTTTTGCTCTGAAACTTGGATCTGCTAACCCAGGACTTTGGCAAGTACCTTAACCCTTTCACCTCTCTCTGATATCTCTTTGCTGTGCTGTTGGTTTCTGTATGTATGTATATATATATATATATATATATATATATATATATATATATATATATATCTTAGTTACATCTTTTCTGTAAATATTTTTGTTGCACCCGTTTGACCTTTTAGTAATAAATCTTTCCTTCTAAGAGTGTTGAACTGTTTCTATAGCGCTTTATTGCAATTTACGAATTCCTGCCTCTAAAGTGATGCTACTGTGTTTGTTTAACTCTCTGTATAATCGGCCTGCGGTGACCGTATTATGCAGACGATTATCTCAACCATTATAGTGTTTTAGCTGATGTTGCCGAGTTTCCTCTTTCTCTGTACAAAAAGGAGGTGGTGGCAGTGTGAAGGGTTAATTGCGTAATTAACCTGACCCAGTAACAATCACTCAGGCTGCCGGTACATCGATTGTGGTCCAATCAGCTAGAAAATCGTTGTGCAGGGTGCAGCTGGGTGTGGCATTGTTACGCACGTGACATTGCGATTTTAGATCGGCTAGTCCTTCGGTCACGAGTTTGGTGAGAAGGTCTGGGGTCTGACGCCGCAATCGTGACAGGGGGGTCTATTGTTCTGGCTGCAAAGGATCTATTTTACTGCTTTTCTTGTTATCATTAACAAATTCTATACAAATTATTTAGCACCATAAAATTAGATTTGATTCTGTATTCTCTAGTAGGGGGCGGAGACAAGGGGTGACTCAGAAGGGGGAGTTCCTGAACCTGTTCCCTGAGAAATAAAGCCCTGCACATAAGGATCTAATGCACATCCCTAGTTGCAGTCCACAACATTTTCGACCATTTGTAAGTTATGAGCTGCCATATGATATGTCCAGATAATGGAAAGCAAATATCAGCTTTACTTCCAATGATCACATCACTAAATCACTTAAGCTTTAACAGAGTTAAGGATAGACACCACACATCAGAATTTCTGTTACCACATGCAGATGTTTTCTAATTGACACCATGAAATCAGTGAAAGGGATTGGAAACAGAGGTTACTGCCATAAAATCAGGGAAAGGGATATGAACAGTGAATGCTATGAAATCAGTGAAAGGGATGGGAACAGAGCTACTGCCATGAAATAAGTGAAAAGGATATGAACAGTGAATGTTATGAAATCAGTGAAAAGGATGGGAACATCAGTGAATGTCATGAACTCAGTAAAAGGAATAGGAACAGTAGTGAATTGCATGACATCAGTAAAAAGGATAGAAACAGTAGTGAATGCCATGATATCACTGAAAGACATGGGAACAGTAATGAATGTCAGAAATCAGTGAAAGGAATGGGAAGAGTGGTGAATACCATTAAAATCAGTGAAAAGAATGGGAACAGCAATGAATGCTATGAACTCTGTAAAAGGAATAGGAACAGTAATGAATTACATGAAATCAGTGAAAAGAATGGAAACAGTGGTGAATGCCATGGTATCAGTGAAAGACAAGGGAACAGTAATGAATGTCATGATATCAGTGAAAGACATGGGAACAGTAATGAATGCCATGATATCAGTGAAAGACATGGGAACAGTAATGAATACCATGATATCAGTGAAAGACATGGGAACAGTAATGAATTCCATGATATCAGTGAAAGACATGGGAACAGTAATGAATACCATGATATCAGTGAAAGACATGGGAACAGTAATGAATTCCATGATATCAGTGAAAGACATGGGAACAGTAATGAATGCCATGATATCAGTGAAAGACATGGGAACAGTAATGAATGCCATGATATCAGTGAAAGACATGGGAACAGTAATGAATGCCATGATATCAGTGAAAGACATGGGAACAGTAACGAATGCCATATCAGTGAAAGACATGGTAACAGTATTGAATGTCATGATATCAGTGAAAGACATGGGAACAATAATGAATGTCATGATATCAGTGAATGACATGGGAAGAGTGGTGAATGCCATGAAATCAGTGAAAGGGAGGGCAAATTGACCGATATTTGCTGGATGTATTTAAATTATTGAAATGGCATTCAAATACTGCAGAGAATTCTGTATAAAAGTCTAGATAAATAAGCAGATGTGTCAGCAAATGCATAGTAAAAGTAGGATGAATCTGAAATTGAACCCTCTATACACAGTGTATACTATGTTTTCTCCCATTCACACATTCTCAGATCTGTGAATACAACTCTTAGCAATGTGATAAGGAACACACATCTTGCTAACAAGATGTTAAAGACCTGTTAATTGCTACTGTTAATTATGTAATGGGCTAATAGTGTTTTTACTGATTAGCAAAATGAGTTTGCCCTGCAGGGGGTCTCCTGCCCATAGTAATGCACACTGCAGTATCTTTGAGCTCCAGTAGGTGGCCCCACATTCATTGTGTGCTGACAGCAGATTACAATGGATTCTTCCCTAATTATAACCAGTATAAAAGCCTCAGCTGCCTGCTCTGAATTTCCATTCAGACTTATTCTAGTCACAGGCTAAAAGCTGATTGTCACACTAAATTAATTTATGTCCCTCCGCTTTATTTAAAGTACACCGTGTACAAAATTCTACTTTCTTTTTTTTCACACTTTGGAAATATGTTTATAATTAGCAGCGTGCACCATGGTGCAAGACAAGGGAGCCAGCCTAGCCAACTACTGTACATTTAAAGAAAACCAGTACGGATAGAAATTTAAAGGGCTGATCATTCTCTGAAAGTGCACGTTGCCTGGCTGCCTGGATTCAGTACTTAATAAATCACAGACATGGAACCAGCATGCAAATCTGAACAGTCAGAGTGAAGTGAGAATAGACAATCAGTGACTAAACATACTGATGTTATTGAATCGGCAAGACATTCAGGAATCTAGTATTATTCAGAAGACTGAGCAAATAGGTAATAACCTTAAAACGCATAGCCTAGCCCTTGGAAACATCCTGCACTGTAGAGCAGTGGTTGTCAAGCTCTTTGAGATCATGGTCTGGTATATTCTTCTAAAACCTTTCATGGGCCAGTAAAAAATAAAGTTTATAATCACTCAATAAAAGTACAGGAATATAAAACTTGTACTGAAATACTGCAAAGCTCTGCATGGATCTGGGCATCCCTGTGAGGGGAGGGAACTAATGGAGGTTGTGAGGTGGATTAGAAGACTCAGCAGCATACTTCGTGACCCTGAAGGGGATGAGGTTTCTGGAGGAAGCTGGGGTGGAAGGAGGGGAGGCACTGTGGGACATTGTTGGAGGGTAGAGGCACTATGGTGGGCTGGAGGCTCTGCAGCAGGCTGGATATTACTATGGGGGCCTGGGCACACTGTGGGCCACTATGGGAGATTGGCAAGCACTTTGGGAGGTTAAGAGATCTGCTGTTGGCTGAAGGCCCAGTAGAAGAGTGGCTGCAGCCTGGTAGTAACCATTGCCTTGTGGTTGAGAACCACTGCCTTATAGATGCCCTCTACAGATTGACTGCAGCTCGCTGGAGATCTCTGAATGGGATCCATTTAAGGATTCACTCAGGCAGCTGCAAGAATTGTGTTAGGGTCCCAGCCAGTGGTGACAGCAAGGTAATGTCATTGCATACCAGCACATTATGTAAAACATACCTTAAAACAAAGCCCTCCAGCGGCACATTGTCATGGCAACGGAGGCTTCCTTCTTCACCCGGTCTTTCTTCTGGGTTTCGCAAGCTCTCTCCACCTGACAGGCTGAGCTGCAATGACGTGGGAGTCCCAGGCCATGGCAGAGTACTCTGAAGGAACGGCATGGGTATGCCGTTCCTTCAGTGCGCATGTGCTGGCTCTAAGAAAGAGAGAATATCTCCTAACTGTGTACGTTTAGGAAATATTCATTTTGCCTACAGGTAAGCTTTATTATTAGCTTACCTGTAGGTAAAAAGTTAAAAAAATAAGTGTACTACCACTTTAAAAGCTTACTTTAAGAAAGGAAATCCCATCATGTAGCAAAGAAGGCTGAGGTGACCACTAATAAATAAATAAATCTCTAATGTAGCTCAGTTTGCTAACAGTATCAAGGCTCACACTAATTGGAAGTATGAGACTGCTGCAATGAGTAATGCCATACAGAATCAAGAACCCACAGACTAGCAATAACTGAAGCAGTGTGGGCAGTACGAAACATGCTGGTTGCTGTACTGTAGAGTATTATCTTGTTTTTACATGCAGATGTTTTTATAGGCTGGACATATATGAAAAAAGAAACATGGTCTGCTGAATTCATTCCCTGAGTACACTCATCTAGCTCCACCAGTTTGCCACTAAACTGCTAACGTTCTTTTCAACCACTCTCTCCAATATACTTGTAGCACCCTCCTAGATGGGTGCTAAGTTTAGATAGATAGATTTAGTTAGTATTTTGATAGGTAAATTTAGTTGTCCCACTGTAGACAGTGTGGATGTAATTGTTGCTAGGTAAAAGCATACCTTGCACACTGTGTTGCTGTGTTATGCTAGTTAGATCTGCTCAGTTTGCTTAGCTGCGGCCAGTCTGATAGCTTTCTCTGTGTCCATAAAGCTTGAGAAGTTTCTGAATGATAGGTGTGGGGCTATGCAGATGGCAGCATGAATATTGATACAGCCCCGGCCTATTCCAGAGAGAGAGGCTCTGATGGCATTCTGGGTAACTATATACTCAGTGAGCACACTCTAGTTCTAGGTCTTTCCTGTGTAGGATTGTTCCAGCTTGGGAGGAAGCATGAGGGTCTGAAAGCTGAGACCCAGGTTCTACTGAAGCTGACTGAGGGGCCATCTACTGAAGATTTGGTCTGGTATCACAGAGGAAGGATTCAATCTGTTCTTGGGCCTTGTGAGTACAGACACCCCTAAAGCATCTTAGAGAGTGTGTACTTCTTAACCTCCTCTGGTGCTAGGGAGTCAGCTGTGGGTCTGGACTAAAGGGGAAAGTGGCTGGTGTTTCGAAGAGCTTTGTCCATTTAACCTCTTACTACAAGGGACTCTGCTCAAGCTTGCTATTAATTTTACTACTGCTGCCTTAAACCTGGTCTACTGTTTGCTTCAAGCACAGACTTCATCATAGCTGATCAAAGAAACTACTTAAAGTCCTCAACTATACATAGTTCTTATTTCTGGAGTATCCCACCTAATTCCCCATCCCTATCCAAGTTCTCCAAAAATAAAAACAACAAAAAAACTTCACCCCTAGATTGGTTATTGGAGAAATGTGTGAATCAGCCTATGTGCCAGGGTATGGGGCAAAGCATTTGGGGAAGACCAGGACAGTATTCTTGCACCTCCTACAGTAGTAACACTACATAATGTAGGTCATATAATACAGATTTTACATAGTTCAGTTTATGAGTATTTTTTTAGTTTTCTACATCTATTGAGACTTGAAGGAGAGAAAACGTACTTACTTGTGATGTCATAAACTACCACAGCCACAGTAGAGTCTCGGATGTAGCTTGGGATGAGGCTACGGAACCTCTCTTGACCAGCGGTGTCCCAGAGTTGCAGTCTGACCTGAGACAAGATAATGTGTAACAAGTCACAGAAAAGACTACAGATCTTGAAAGTTGTGTTGTAAAAGCTAGTTTACTACTACTTTTAATGATCAGACCTCTCCATTTTCTTTACTTCTTGAGTCCTGTGTGTGTGTACTCAAACAAGCCCAAAGGCAGGACATAAAGCCATAGATATAGAATAGTAGCATGGCCAGGGATAGCACCTGGACTTCTCACATATCTCATTCTAGCTGATACCATCCGGATCAGGGGCGGACTGACCATTTGGAAACTCAGGCACTGCCCGAGGGCCCAGGGTTAGTAGGGGGCCCCATGAGATGCCCCTGGTACCTTTTCCATAGGCTTTTTTGAGTTTGGGCAAGGACACAGGGGCCCCATGAGTTGTCAGTCTGTCCCTGATCAGGATCTTTTATTTTCTTTTATAAAAGTTTGCAAACAAATTATCTTTCTTCATAAATTAAAGCCAAAATTTAGTCTGCTACATTTCTTTGCTACAAATAACCCACATCAGTGTATATTATTTACTCTGTGTGAAAGTTATAGTGTCTACAAACTATGGTATATGTACAGGTTTTTGAAAATTGATCACGTCTGATGTACTAAGGGCCTATCTTATTTCTTGAAGCTCTAAAATGCCAGGACAGTACAAATACCCCCCAGATGATCCATTTTTGGAAATTAGACAATCCAAGATATTTATTAAGAGGCATGGCAAGTTTTTTCAAGTTGTAATTTTATGTTACAATTTTTTGTAAAAAGGAGAATTTAAAAAAATAATTTTTTTTACATTTTTTCTTTTTAACTTATTGTCGCCAGTGCAGTACAGCGTCATCATATGACTGGTGTTGTGGTGATCAGGGATACTGACTGCTGACAGTATATTAAAAAATAAATACATTATTTTTTATTCAATTTTTAATAATTTTTTGTTCTGTTTTGTTACAATTTCTTTTCTTTTTTTTTTACAATTTACAATCTGTTATTAGAGTAGTAGTTCAGTATCGCCATAGTGATACTGTACTACTCTGGGGCGGTGATCATGAATTATTTTTTTTTTACACTGTAATTGCTTGTTACAGTGAGGATCACTGTAGCAGCAATTGTTTGACCTGTCATGAATGGCTTTCATTCATGACTCATTGTTTACTCTTGTGATGCCGTGATTGGCCCACAGTTATCACATGGTACAGGGTGTTGTGATTGGCCCAGGTACCATGGGATAGCTGTTGGCCAATCACAGCATCACAATATTAAGCAAGCTGTCATGAATGAATGCCATTCATGACAGTTGTGCTTACATGTTATAGACATATAAAATGTGTGTATCATAGATAAAACTATACAATGTAAATTGTATCTAATGTACTGTATATACATTCATATATGTGAAGTTGGCACACATAGCTGTCAAGACAAACTGTTATTTTATCCTTTTGATATGAAAAATTCAATTTCTTACTATGTTAAGTTATGCAAGAGGCAAATGCCTTATCTTTGTTATGTTGGGCTAACCTGTTTTTGGATAAATATGTGGAGAGTCAGAGGGGAGTTTCAGAGCAGGTTATTTGTAAATCTACCAGCATTGTAAAATTCAAGTCTGATTAGATTTGAAAGGATTTTAAATATTCATGGGGCCTTGTTTATGAGAAATAGCCTTTTTAAAGAGGTGGAGTCATACCTATGAAAGAAAGGTAAAAATGCAATAGTCCCTTAAACAATACGAGAAGCATATGGTAATAGATTTAAGGGGTCTTAAATATCCATAGTGTACTTGTTTATGGTGAAGAGAGTTTTAAAGTGGGAATTGTGTCCACCTTTGTACACGGATGTTAAAGATTGCAGTTTTGCCATAAATAAGACAAGGTGTATCTATTTAACTTTTTAATTAAAATCTATGCATGTAGCTGTTTTAGGTCAAGACGCTTAGTTTGTAACACATAAGAACAAAGATGCTCATAAAACCAATCAATCACATTGCTCAATGGGGAAAAGGTGTATATTAGGATAGGACATTTTGGCTGAACCATCAAAGCAGGATTGGGTACGTTGAAGGTTTCTGATCATTGTATGATTTCCAAATACTCTGTGGACTGTGTTCTGTGCTGAGACCCAGTAAATGGAAGCCTCTCTGGAAAACCAAGTTGCTGCTGGAAAAATTCATTTCTTGGACAGAAGAGTTTTGCATTCCATATCGGCTAGTGAACGCTTGCCTCATCAACAATGATTATAAATATCACTCCTCATCCCCGTAATATATGACAATACATGTTAGCATGTGATAACTATGATTGCTCATAGTGTTCACATGATCCCTCGACCACTCACAGCGGCTGGGTACAGCTCATTGTGATTAGCTGTGTCCACCAGACACAGGGGTCACAGGATTGTGCCACTGCGTACCCCAGGGGTTACGCAAGTGTGCACGAGCACCAGGATATACGGATACATTGCGGTGCCTAGGGAAGCTGGATGTAAATGTATTGCTGGCGGCCCACAAGTGGTTAATCTACAGAAGACTTTATTGTGGATACCCTAAATATAGTAATCTCCTGATAACAATTCAGATTCTCCCAGGTGGATACTCTTTACCTTAGCATGCCACTACTGAGAGAAAACTTTGGTCAGTAACACACCTCCTGTATTAGACCATGCAACAGAGATAACTTTAGGCATCAGCATTATTAGTCTGAAGGGAAGGGAGTATTAGATGTACTCGCAGATTTAGATACACTTACATATCAAAGCCACACTCTAGCAAACATTTTATAAGCAGTTACAGAAACAGTTTTGTTCCTTTTTGGATAAAGGTTTTATATAAATGAATAAAAGCTGTTAGGAATCTTTTGAACAATTGTAGGAACCTCTATCACTGGTAAATGTTTTGTCTTAATCCTCTAACTGCTACATCTGCAGGAAAGCTTGTTCTGTTGAAAAACAACAGACTAACTGACTAACTGGCTAGATCTCCAGGTGAAAATAATAGAAAGAAAGTCTAAAAAAGAAAACTAATGCAACCATCACATCTAAGAATTGGTAAGCTGCAATATAATTAATGTTTGCTTTGGGGTTATTAGCATTTTAAGTCCCCGTGAGGCAGGGGTCTCTTTCTTAGTAACAGCATATTGTTAAATATTTTTTTGCAAGGAATATTGCAAAAGAAATTAAATATGTCTTGGGATTTTTGCGAATGAATTTTAAGGAAGAGACAACATGTGCAGTAAGCTATAACAAGATGTAAGTCAACTTTTATGTTTACAAAACTCTAAACATAGCTGGAACCAATATAGTTAGTATGGATTCCTGCATAATTCAGTAAGACCAACAAGACGGTGAACTGTTTTGGACCTATACTATTAACTTTCAGCTTGCGGTGCCTGAGCCCTGTAGACCGTCTGTTACAACAATTTTTTTCCTCCCAGTTACAGTACAAATAGGGCAGGCCTTTTGTTATTTGGCACCCTGACTTTAGCACAGCACTCAATCCTGCCAGCTAAAGCATATGGAGGTATTACATATGCCAAGAATTCCCCTTTGTGTCAGGAAATCCTTAATTTCATTTGATGAAACAAATTAAATGATTTTATAGACTCCATTGTCTTTGGCTAAATAGATCCTTACATCAAAACGTTATAATGTCTATGTAACATTTTATTAAGCTTTCATTTATAATGTAAAGAATATCAAAATATTGTAAATACAGTAGGTATAGTTTAGGAAAGTGAAAGCTTTACATTATTGCAAATTGCAAACTGCTGGCCACATTGAAAAAAAGAAAAAAACAGAATGGGACATCTATTAATGTAGTTGTGTGTATCAAATCATGTGCAATTTGCAAACAAAATGTTGGCATTCATTTTTGAGTCTCTATTGCACCACAGTGACAGATTTGCCCCAACATTTTAAACATTCACATACAGTGTATGTTAAGACAGAGACTAATTATTTATACAACCTGTTTACAGAAAACATAAACTGTGTCCCTAACTTGCATTAGAAAAAAAAAAAAAGTGACAGATTGCTAACAAAACATAAGACAGTTTTGATAAATGTCCCCCATAGTGTTTAGGCAGTAGATGCCTCCTGCCATTAAGGTCACACTGCTAAAGTGTTTAAAGGCAGTACAAAATCAAGCCAGTTAAAATCAAATAACTGTTGGAATATAGTGTTAGTGTATTTTGAGCAACAACTACATCCATATTCAGTAGAGATATGTTCTTTAACCAGTAGATGGCAGTGTTTATAAGTTTGTAGCTGCATCTATGGTATACTCTCTGCATAAAGTTTCCTGTTTCCTTCTTGCAGTGAAGCAGAAAAGCACATGTGGACTGTGCACTGTCTGTTCTGTAAGGCTATATACAGAATTTCTAACAATAATTAGTATTTTATCCTTGATGGTTCCAACCATGACAGCTCCCCAATTATTCCACTAATTTTGCTGTCTTTCTAGGTCTTGTTTATCATAATTGTCTCATCTCAAGGCATGTTTTATTATCAGTTCTACTCATTTTCCCCAAACTCACATTGGGGTTGATTTACTAAAATTGTAGAGTGCAAAATCTGGTGCAAGCTGTGCATGTAGCCAATCAGCATCTAACTTCAGCTTGTTCAATTAAGCTTTGACAATAAAACCTGCAAGCTGATTGGTTTTTGTGCACAGCTGCACCAGATTTTGCACTCTGCAGTTTTAGTAAATCAACTCCTTATCTACTTCCCCATTTGTTGCCTCAAGCTCTGTCTGCTTCTCCAAATGTAGCTGAAAATGGTATAAGTGCAGTATATCCATCTTGTGAATGATGCTATGAAGGTTTTCCGTTATAAAGGTTTTGAGAAATCTACCAGTAGTAAACCAAACACAACTTCATTTCCAAATTTTTCCTTTACTGCTCATCTATATGATTTTTTTTTTCAGTTCATCTGATGAATGGTAATTCAATGTTATTGAAACCTATTTGGCTTGTCTACAGTAAACCAATGACCATGGTGTCATTTCAATGAGAC